AGGGAGAACCAACCAATATCATATAATACATATATCATTTTCAAATTTCCCGGTTTTTATATATTGTTTGTCATAGTTTAGTAAGACGTGTCTGATACTTCCTCCAGCAACACTTTACCTCCTGTTTCCACAGCTCTAATTCCACCAGTACAACACCAGAGTCGTGCCTACTAGGGATGAGCGAGTAGATCATAATCCGTATTTGTTCAACCAACTAAAATATCTGTAGTCGTACCTGTACTTGCAATGGGCGGGGCTTAGCCAGGACGTGGGTGTGGCTAACTGGAGGTTGTTCATTTGAGCTTTTAATTAATACAGTATGGGTTGATCAGAAGATGCAGTTTTTATTAGAAAGCTATTGACACAACTGAGCTTCACAAGACACATTTTACTCGTTTTGATACAAGTACTTGTTTAAAGTATACAGATACTCATTGTATGCTCAACCCTACTGCCTACTTGTCGAATTCATGTCACTTTTAAATTCTCTCTCTCTTTCTCCCGTTAAAGGGCAACTTCCAGTCCAGTATTGAGTCAGACCGCACACTGTTAAAGTACATCCATTAAAGGTGCTTCTTACTTACTTCTCTTACAGAGAAATTGGTCATTTTTAGTACCTTTTACTTAATTCGCTGTGTGTGTGCTAAGATGTTGTGAAATCTCAGGAGAGGTGAGGTGACTTGTTGCAGGAAGTCAGCGGTGGAAACGTGATTTGGATGATTGACCCTTCCTGCTCCTTTTGGAACCGTAGCTAACTTAAGATGTGATTTTATATGTCACTTTTATCTTTTAACCATCTTCATCTCATATTTGTCACTTTGAGTCAAAAACACTGGAAAATAAGGTCCAGGTTGAAAAATACTCAACTCAGCCTTTATTGTCAAATAGACCACACTTCCTGTTGTAGTGTGCACAAAAGTTTCACATTAAAAGCCTTCTAGTGTCTCAAAGGGTGTATTTTTTCTTTCCTCATTCACGTTTCTTATTCCATCAGAGTGATGTTGCTGTCGGCTAATCTCACCACTACCTGTAGACTATAAATGTGCCAGGGATGGGAGCGATTATGCCCTTTGAGCCACAACTAGGCTTTTAATGTGTAAGATCTGCGCACTCTTCAGCAGGAAGAGATCAGTTTTGTCAACAGGAACTTAATGCCGATCGAAAAACTGTAAAAGACGGAAGAAATTGGAGATAATTAGTGAGTGAAAAGCATTTTCTCATGCAAATATAAGTATAAAAACATTATTTGTACAGTGTTAGTATGTGACACACGACGAGGCGTAAAGCAGACAGTTTGTAAGTGAAGCAACAGTTTGATCACATCATGCCACAACAGGAGTGATTGAACAGAAGGTGAGCTTCCTGTTTATCTCTTCTTAAACTCGTAAATATCACCTGCTCAAAGATGGCTCCCCTGAGAAAGACGCTCCACTCTGACAAGTGTCGGAGCGCTCATACGAGTGACAGACATTCAGACGGAGCGGTAAGTCTTCCAGGAGGAACATCTGTAACCTAACTAAGGAGGATGAGCACAAAGAGGACGGATATTCAGAAAATACAGAGTGAGGAGGGTTGACACATTTTCATGCTTGGGATGGTTTCTTTAAGGCCTTTCAAAATAAATGTATTGAGGTGTTTACAGGAGGCGGTTTTATTCAGACTAAACTGATGGCACGAGAGGAAAAAGGCCTCAGGAGATGTGGTCCGATGAACGAGCTCAGTGTTCGTTATTAAACTGTGATAATTCGACAAACACAGATTAGCTTTGGAATAATAAGCTCTTACTCTGCTTATCGGGGCAACACAACTGAAGGTTCTGCTTTAATGCCCTTATCAATTCAGCTGATATTATGATTTAGTGGTGCATTTCCCAAAACAACAATTTTGAAATCAAATTAGCAGAAACCAGTTGTCACACACTGAGCCTGGAGCCTTTTTTCAGGTCCAGGGACTCTGTGGCCTTGGGGCAGTTCGAGGCAGACTGCCTTTGCTAACTCAGGTTTATCTGGACACCATGAATACTGAAAGCAAAGTTTCTACCCACAAGCCATCACTCTGATGAACGGTTAACTCCACACACACAGTGTCAGGAATTATTTACTCTAATTGTTGAATTTCAGTCTCTTTTTAAAAGATAGACACTGCATAAAGATAGTCTTGTTTACTCGACTGTAAAATACATTGGGCTTATTGTCATCTTTATTTCTACTTATTCTGTGTCCATTGAGAGCAACGTACCAATAACAGACAGACATCCTTCTTGTTACTGACGTGTTTACATGACACAGTATTCATTCAGGCAGAGCTCTTGCTGTACATTGTGGTATGGCATATGAATCCATTTATAAATCCCACGTATCATTCCAGTAGCGTTCTACGAGCTGAGAGCCGGGCTCTGGCCTATCTTCATTTATTTATACTTTAACTTCTTTCATAATACACCAGAATTATTGTAATGAACCCAACAGTTGCCTTGAATGTTGTATTGTACAACTAGCACAATGGCCTCAAATAGCTAACGATATTAATCCGACGGCGGCAGCTCGGTCACAGATCTGACAAAATGGTGGACGTGAAACAGCCAGCAGGGGTTGCTACTAGCAACAAAATGTTTAACTGAAACTGCTGGTGGCTAATTTTGTAGAAAGATACCAGCAGCATTTATAGACATAAAGTCAGAGGTCTCCGTTGCTGTTGAACAAAGTTTCCCTAGAGGCTGCAGTCCGGCTGAACTAGGCTGCTGAGTCCTTCTTCTTCTTCTTCTGTTGTTGTGAGTTTAGAGTTTGTTCAGCCGTGCAGCGCGGCGTCCGTGATCTATAAGCCTACTGCTGACACGACGTTCAGAGGCAAAGCACTTATTAAACAGCCGCTCTGAACTCAGCAGCCACTCGCACATGACTTAACATTTTTGCAAGCACCTTGCTTTTGCATGGGAAGTGCTTAAAAAACTAAAATCCACGGCAGCGGCGGCGGCGGCCGTGAGAATGTGGAGAGGGGGAGCAGAGATGGAGAGAGAGAGAGAGACGGCGTGCGGTCGCGACTCAGCACTCCGCGGGATTAGAATGTACACATCAACCCGCAAACAGACAGAAAAGCCGACTGTAGCTCCTTTTGCAAAAAGGAGGCAATGAATTTAAATTATGCATGAAGCAGAGGGCATTTTGGGAAATAAGCGTCATTCCGGCGGGAGGACTGGCACCCCCTCCTCCAGCCTCCAGTATCAAAGAATGATCTAATGTCACGCACAGAAGAAAGGTTACTTTCTGCATACGCATTGATATTTCTGCTTCCATCTCTGACCTTTTTCCATTCTGAGCTGTGATTTTTTAAATGCGAACTCAGCCCCGCGTCCGTCTGTCTGTCAGTTCCCGTCCGTCCGTCTGCCTGTCTCAGAGGCTCAGGATTAAAGTAAAAATCATCAGGAAAGAAAGTGCAGAAAAAAGCCAGAGGGGAGAACCTTAATATTCATCAACGTACACAGAAATCATTTAGTAAACATCTCCTGCGTGTGTCATCCTCCATCCCGTCACTCCTCGTAGGTGAAGAAAAAGAGCAGATACAGTGTTGTTATTTTTGCCTTAATTGGCTGTTTGTGCAACGTAATTAACGTTTTAACGAATCCGAGCCTGTTTTTTTCCCTCCTTTAAATCAGCTGATCCTGTTTCACGCTCAGCACCCGCTGTTTGATATGTGGCTTCCATCTTTCAGCAACAAATTAAGCGATGTTCCTGGCATTTTGTGAACTATTAGTGACTTTAAAAATACACAGAGCTTTAATTAATTTCCCTCAGAAATGGAGACTGTACGTGTGTGTGTGTGTGTGTGTGTGTGTAGATAAAGGGATAATGACAGTTTTAATCAGCATCTCCTGCTCTTGCCAGCCTGCACGCAGCTGAACTGTGACACTTTTGTTGGTTTTTATGGGACAAAAGTAACATTTACACAGGTCTTTGCACACAGAAAAACCAAAGAATGTCTTCTTTCAAATACAGTTCTATTTACAGTCAACTTATCTTTATTATCTCAAAGGAAATTGTACAGCAGGAAGACATTACACAAAATCACAGAGCACAAAAACAAAGCAACCCATGAACATAAATATCAATAAAGAAAACAGACCAGATGAAAAATAGATTAAAAAAAAAGATGAAAACACTTACCTGAAGAATTAGTATGAGAACAAAGGAAAAAAGGAAATATAACAGTTGGTACAGTACATTAGGACTTCTATCGTGATTTTACAACTCATCTCCCATAATCCTTCTTTTGTTTCTGCACCAATTTGATCAATTCATTTTCAATTTACCAAAATGTGCGTAAAAGTGTTTATGAAACTTTTTACAGCGCCTCAGAAAATATGAGACTCTCAAACTTTGAGTATTATGATCGACGTAAGTTAAGTATTTTAGTAGAGTTTTATGTATTTCATTTATTGTTGACTGAACAGAACCAGTTCAGGAACCAGAGCTGATTTAGTCTCTTCAGTTTTATAAATTAACTGATACCAGTGGATCTGACGCCTTGTGTGAAGTGATGGACAGTTTACTGGAGAATACAGGTTACAGTGTTGAGTACTGAGTGGAGAAAAAGTGGATGGCAGTATGGTTCAGTCTTTCAACCTCTGTATTTCTAAAACCTAAAATCACCTAAAGAAAAGCAGCAATGAAAATGTCTTTGTTAAAATGCCAGAAGAATGAGGGTATGTGTTTCGGGTTGCGGTTGAGCTGAATTCGGGTACTGACACCTTTTTTTGGACCCATTCAGGCGCTGGATTTTTAGCTTCTTTTACTATGACAGACACAGTTAGAGACTAGCTGGAAGATCTGTCTGCCAAGAGCGAAAAAGGAGAGTCAATATTGGATTTATTAGATGGACACAAACAATATGTCACTGTAGTGGGTTTGTTGGCCAAAAGCAGAATTGTATGCCTCTTTTAAAGGCCCCTCTGCTGTTGTTTCCTCTTTTTACTCACCCTTGTCTCTTTGTCTTTCTCTCTGCAGACCTCAGGCCTCTTCCCGACGTGGCGATGACCGGTAACTGCACCCACGAGTGCACCGAGTTCGGCCACTCCGACTCCTGCTGGATGCCCGGTCAGCCTTCCCCCACCCGCAAGGTGTCCAAGAACGCCCCCAAGCTCTCCACCTTTGTGCCTTACCAGGAGATGGACGGGCAGGAGCAGCTCATGGCCAACGGCAGCCCCAAGCCCATGGCGACGGAGGAGCGCGGGACGGGCAGTGGCGGCGGCGGCAGCAGTTCCAAAGTGGCCAACATGCGGTTCATGACGCCCTACAGCAGTGCCTACCCTGGGGGTGGAGACTCCGGTAAAGACTGTGGGCTGGAGGAGATCCCACTGAGCCAGGCGGTGGAGTACCACTCGGCCACCACTCCGACCGGCCAGACCTCCAAGAGGGAGATCTACCTGTGAGGGCTCAGCTCTCCACCTTAAAAACCCCCAACCCCCGTCCCTAGGCTCCTCATCATCCCTTGTCGCTGCTCGCCACCACCTGTCCCACCTCCTCACTGCCGCCCCCTGTGCCTATTACTTGCTGATGCCACAGCACCGACTCCCCTTCGTCCTTTTTATAACTGCATCCACCGTACAAGGCTTTAGACCCTCGCCCGCCTCACCCACTGCCACCGCCGCCACCCCCCCCTTCTAGAAACCAATCAAATGTAAAATAGAATTAATTAAAATCAATTGAAGAAAACACGCGGCTCCTGCTGCTGCGGAAGGAATGTAAACTACACCACATCGTTGTGATAATTTAATGGGAAACTATTTAGCTACTCACGTATTTGAGTTGGATTTTTGTGTGTTGCTTTAGGCTATGTTGCTGTGTTGGAACAGAAAAAGAAAAAACACCTTCGGGGGGAAGAAGGAAAAGAACATCTTGTAAATCCTACTTAAGTATACTGTGTAATGCTATCTATCCTGATTTTTTTGTTTGGATTTGTTTGATTTTCTTTATATTTTTCCTCTGTCGACTCCGGAGCCTCCGGGAAATAACATTTTTGAGCCGAGTTGCATCAAATCAACCGGGCTCGTTTTTATCAGGAACAGCTCGTCTTAAGACGTTCACAGAAACGCAGCTGTTTTCCAAACTTCGGAGTTGAGAACTTTTTTTCAGGTCTGTTCATTTTCTTGCTGTGAAGAGGTCTTTTTTCAGTGTACAGAGCTGTAAATAAAACAAACAGTGACAGAGGAAACTGCTGTGGCTGTTAGTGTGGATCCGTGGCTGTCGTGGTGTCTGGAGATCTTCATGTAACGTTGGACTGATGGAAAACCTTCGCATGTACAGAGAAACGACGCCGCGGCGTTCGCCGTCACACTGCAGGAACCTGGACTCTTGAGCATCACCGACGGTGCCGAGTTACAAACACGAGACTTTTTATTATTTTTTCCTCTCCTCTACAACTTTACAACACAGTTGAATTTGGGTTCACGAGGGGACAAAGTCATTCGAGGATACCAGTTTATTCAGAACCGAAAGAAATATCTGAGTTCTAAGTGGTTCAGTCAGTGGATCGGCCAAAGCTGAGTATCCAAATACCGGTTATACTATTAATGCTCTTGTCAGTAGTATACCATAAAATGAAAGCGTAACATTAAAGTGTGTGACAGTTACATTTATTATCACAGAAAACTATCAAAAAAACCAACGCATATACAATTTAATTTTATGTGTAAAGATGAAACTTTCCTAAGCTGTGAACTGTGTGAAATTGTGTTCATCATTCATGTTTGGAAAGTCTAAAAGTCCCGCTAGCTACTTCCCCTTCAGACCGCAGTGTCCATTGTAGAGCTGAAACTATTAGTCTATTACCAAAAGAAAAAAAAATGAATCGGCAACAGTTTTGATCTATCAATCGTAATCAATCATTTAAATTGAGCAAAATTATTATAACACTCATTGGTTCCAACTTCACTAAAATGAGCTGTTTCTATCTCCTTTATGTTACTGTCAGTGGAATATATTTGGTTTTGGACTGTCGGTTTCCTTTAATCCTTACAGGTAGTTTAAGATAAAAATGTAAAGTTTGTCCTGAATGTGGCACAAGAGGAAAGCTCGAGAGGTCATTGAAATCAATGCGGTTCATCCTCGGGGGAGCAGGAATGTCCACAGTAAAGTCTGATATGAATCTTACAGATATTCGTCGATATGTTGCTAAAGTGTCGGACAGCCGGATCGATATCAGGATTCTTATTGGTGCTGCAGCGTGCGAGGCTCAGACAATACAACAGCTCATTCAAAAAACAACTAATTACCACAATCTCAGTCAGGATTAATGCCAAAATCTTCTCTCAACAAAAGATTTGAAGGCTCAATACACAGAGGACATGTTTGAAATGTCTGCTGTGGTTTGTGAAACAGCAGCTGTGTCTTTATTCTGACAAACCGCCGCAGCTGGGAAGTGTAGAGGTGCACTGATACTTGCAGGATTGAGTGTGTTGTTTGTGGTGACTGTGGTAGATGTTTCCCCGCTGTGTTCTCGAGCTTGAAGGAAGAGCTCTCTGGTCAGTGTCGCCTCTCGTTAGTTCCCACCTCTTTACCTCCTCAGTGTGAGGCTGAGCCGTTTGCCGTTTAGCAGAAGTATTTATTAAACCTGTTAGTTCTGTGCAGCGGGGGAGGTGGGCGCCGCTTCCTGCCGCGCTGCAGCCGCACAGCCATGCAGGATTAATGACACCTGTACAGGCTTCAGTCCACTAACACCCACTCCACACGGCGCAGCAGAGAAACTGTAATTACAACCCGAGGCTCTGCACATTACCGGCGATAATTTGCGCCAGTAAAAGCGAGCTGGTTTGGAAGTTCATTCATTCTGAGCCCAGTGTTAATGGCTGCTGAGGGTAATGTGAGATTTCACCTGTAGTGATGCACACCAGCTGAGAATAGATGGATGAAAGGAAAGCCACAGTGAGACAGTGCGCTGCAAAAAAATCTCCCTAACAAGTCATTTAGTCTCTTGCTGCGTCCTGAAGTCTTAAAACAAAGCAAGAAATCAGCCTGTGGAGGAAGATTATTTCACCTGTTTTCCTCCAGTCAAGGTAGAGCTCTGCAGTGGCAGTAAAGGAAGATAACAGGTTTATCTTTATACTTTAAAAAGTAAAAACATATAAAAGGGGCTTCAATGGCCACAAGGTTAATCCTTGGGGTCCATCCACTAACAGTAGTTGTTTCTGCCACTGACAGGCTCAGATTGTTATTCTCAGTGTCTGACAGCATTATGTGTCTTTGTTTCGACTAGTGTATTCATTTCTAGAAACTTCCTGAAACAGAGAAAACTGCAGCGGGAACAAGTGGGATTAATCTCGCCCCTGTCGGAAGAAGAGTCTCGATGGCAGACTCAATGACTTGCCTTTTGTTTTTGGGGTTTTTTGCAGCATGTGTGAGGTGTGAACATCAACACTCCAGAATCACAGAGGGAACATCAAAGTGCCGCCGCCGGGCTGCGACGCCTTAAAAGGCTTAACAGGCAGCAAAACGGGGCCATTTGCCGGGTCGCAGAGGGGTCGCACTATTTAGTTTTACTCAACAAACAATCGCCTTCGCTAAGCGTATCGGACTGCCTCTTTCTCCTGCCTTCTTTCCTGTATTTCTTTGGTGACGCCCATTCCAGCCCCGCCACTTAATTGGTTTTTATTGTACATACATTTGTTTTTGATGTGCGGGAGCTCAATGTGTGGTGTGTTAACGCGATTCAGAACACGATTCCTCCGGTCTCTGAAGGTGACTTGATTTATTGTCGACGTACCTTGCACACACACACAGTCGCAGTATTCCCCCAGCAGATAAATCAACCATCATTCAACCGACGTTCAACCCTCCCAGTGACAGAGATTTAGAGTTCACGGGCGCCGCCGCGGTCCCTCTCGCTCCCCGTCTTCCTCTGGTGATTTAACGCCGGCGCTCAGAGCTCTGATTGATTATTTACAGGCCCAACATGGAGGTCCACATTGACTCTCCTCCTTCCTCCCCCCCTCGCCACGCTTCACAGTTTCACCGTAAACAAGTAATTTTTTTGCTCCCCGTGATGCCCGCCTGCCGCCAGGCCGACCGCTGCGCTCCCAGGTGGCCGCTGTGTTATGCTGTCTCAGGTAAAGACAGAGGAGAGAGAGGTCGGAGTCATGTACTGTTGGTTTAACCTCAACTCTTTGGCACCAATTAACCCCAGAAGAGGAAAAGAAACCTCTGGTGACCTCTGATGACCTTTGGTGACCTCTGGCGTTGCTGTTGGCTTTAACTCACAGCAAAACTGAAATAAAGTAAGCAAACACGAGACTGCTCGTGTGTGTGTGTGCCAACAATAATAAGAAAAATAGCAGCAATATACACAGCACGGCCAAAAGTATGTGGACATGTGAGTCCTGCTCATAAAGTTCAGTTATAAAATCCCACAGCGCAGCAGCGTCCCTCCTGATGACAGTGCAGGTAAAAGCGATGAGCTAGTGTGCCACTGAACTGAAAAAAAGGACAGTAATAATGGACACTGACTGACACCATTTCTGAGCAGGATGCAGCCCGTTAAAAGTGTTTATTTGCGTATAGAGCAGAGGAGTGAGATGTGATCACAGGTGGCCACTGGAGACGCATGTTAATACCAGCTGTAAACAGGCCCCTGGAAACAATCTGGATGTGAGATTTTAATGCAAGCTGTAAAACAGAGCATTAGTATATTATATGGACGGGGTTTGACCACAGACTGTTTTCTCTAAGAGGAGTTCATTCAAATACAACGTGTGCAAATTGCCTAAAAGTACCACTCAATTCAAAATGGGTGAATTCCTGTTGGGTTCGAAGAGGCTGTTTAGTTAATATGGTCATGATACACGTGCGTCCCGATTTTCATACATATTGGTGCCTTGGGGGCTCAGTTTTGCGGACCCATATAATATAATTTGTACATTTTCGCTAAATTTTGTGCCACGTTTCATGAGTTTTGAGCATGCTGTGGCCTCCAAAAATGAGATAATTCCCTTCATTTCAAAGTCAAAAGCCTCAGCAACATGTTGGACAAGAGTTTTAATCAGAATACATCTTTTTTTTTAACAACCAAGCTCTTATTGTCGCCCAGTCTTCAGAAATTCTACAATTTCCTTTTAAGTCTGTAGTTTAAAATCGTACAGTATCAGATGTGTACAGTATGTACTGTATATGTGTGTGTGCATAGAAAGGATCCTGAGGCCTCCTGTCACATTACAAACACTTCCTGCTCCCTGGAGGAAAACTGAACCCCCTCCAATCCACCACCACCACCAACCAAACTACCCATCAACCCCCAGGAGAGCTGCTGTCACACACACTGACAGTCTCTGTGTGTGTGCATTCAGCAGGTGTCTCTGCATGCAGAGCGTCCACCTCCCGCCCTGCTGCCTTCAGTGACAAATAAAATATATATATATATGTGTGTGTATGTATTTCTGACATCGCCAAAGTATTGGAAGCGTTATAAATATTCCAGAGAGGAAACACGGATAGTAAGGTGGAGGAAATATTACAGAAATGTAATGACTCTTCTTCTCGTGGAGCTCCAGTCGTCCTCTCAATTAGTTGTCCCGTAGGTTTCTGAGGCCGTGTGAAGCTCTTCAGGAGTTATTATGTTTCAAATATCTGAAGGGGAAAGATTTTGATGAGAAAACAGAGTTATTGTCAGTGCAGCTCTGATCCGTCTGCAGTTTTTATTTGCTTCCCTGTGCGTAAGTACATCACTCAGTAATGAAATGCAGTTCGTTTACCTCTAAACACACGCAATTAAACTGCAGTCCTTAATTCAAAATGCTTTTAAATGTAGTGTTTGGCACTGAAACACGTTGCTTTACCCTTGATTTATTATTAACGTAAAGTGCACTATAGTTCACTTCTAAAACACTTTATAGACTTACTAATTTATGACTTAACTGCATAAATATCTTCTAAAAAACGGTTTATTTAAAAAAAAACATTGGTTTACTACTGACAGGCATTATTTATGTATGAAATCCACTGCTCTACTTTCAGAGGAATCTTTTGTTTCCTAAAACAGACTGCGTCTCAAGTTGTGTATTTTTATGGTGATTCTTAAAGCTGCACTAATCAGTATTTCTCATATTAACCAGAGCCTGATATGGTTTATCACAGGTACTGGGCACCACCACCTCCTGGTGAGTCTGGGTAATTACATTCTTAATGCTGAGAAAAACGGCAAAAGATTTATGGTTATTGTGGTTGTATCTGTGCTGAAAGAGAGTTCTGCCACCTTTTTTGGTCCAATTCAGGCACCGATATTAACCGATAGATCAGATTACTTTGTTTAATGTCTAAAGAATTGCTTGCAGTGAGGATTATCACCACCTCTGCAGCTCTACGAAGTCTTTTTAGCCTCTTTTAGCTTCTCGTTTTGGTTTTTACGGGACATTTCCTGTCTGGTTCAGTCTCAGCTGTAGGAGGTAAAGAGGCTGATGTTTCCCGCTGCAGTTGGTGGAGAACAAACCGGAGCTAAAAAGAGAGCGAACATTGAACAAACACATCGTTCTGTGTCTGCTGGATGTGGAAGCAGGTGTCAGATGTTGTGTTTGCTGCCCCCAAGTGGCCAAAAAACAAATCAATGCAGCTTTAGCAGATAATTATCAACCCATTTAAGATGAAAACCAACATTTTTCAAACTTTCATTGGAACTAAGGGTCCAAAATTAGGAAAAACTGACCAATATTACATTATTATATTATACTTTCGGTACATTTAAAGGACCAGTGTGTAGGATTTAGTGGTTGCTAGTGGTGAAGTTACAACTAACTGAATACTGCTCGTCTTTTAAACATGTAGGAGAAACGACAGTGGCCTCAAAACTCACAAAATATCCTGTAAGGTAACAAAAACACAACGATTCTTATTTTTTAACAGAATATTATATTAAATTTCTGCCAGTAGATCCTCCTAAATGTTACACACTGGACCTTTAAATATGTTTAATCATTGACTTCAATATAAGAAAAATAAGACCCACAGTCACAAAAGTTGTGTGTACATTTTCAAATAAATACTAATAAATAAATTGCTATTAAATCAGGTTCATTAGACTCAAAGTGTTTGAAAATTCAACATAAGTTAAATGACAAAAGTATGATTTGAGACGCATCCTGTGTTTCTTACTTTTTCCTGCTTTATTTTTCTGATGCAGTCGTAAAAACTTCTTCTGGTCTCTTTATGAATCACGTTGTTGTTGGCTCCTAAATGACAGTAAAACATGAATGTTTTTGGTTTTCTGAGTCTGTGCAGTTCAATGAAAGCTTCACTTTGTTCAATTACTCAACAGAATATTAGTTTATTCAGTGTTTGCCCCCCTTCGACTCCTCTCCTCGGTCTGACTCAGTGGAATCATCTTTCCTCTCTTCTCTATGTCCACTAATATTTACTCTGTTTGTTCCTCTCATGTGAATCCTTGTGTTGGTGTGTGGGACTTTTGCACTGATGGTGGCGTTTAAGTCGCAGGAATCAGACGCAGCTTTCGACGTACACAATCTATAAAGATCGAAGCTCGTCTTCCACTTTATAGCCTCTTTCACACAGCTGCAGTCCTACAGAGAGTAAAGGTCTTTAAAGACTTCAGCAGTCTTCCCTTTAGCTGATAGAGAGCAGGAACCACCCTACTATATATACTGTTACACATTATGTTGCCTATTAAACTGAGTCTACAATAACGTGTAAGCTGCCTATAGCTTGTTATAGTGCATACCATAATAAACTATAGCGCTGGTTTCCTTATGGGACCCCTTTTCTATCATTATTTGTATAATATATTTTATACATATTTCTCAGTAACTGCAGAAAGTTTGCATAAAAAGTGATTTGGATGAATTATGAGCAGATTATTTCCTGTTTAGGAAACTTTTTATGCAATTCTCTGTTTGTATTGTGTATTTTTTTAATACTTTTTAACAATCATACAGACTTAATAGGCTTCTTTTTGGATAAATTCAGTGTTTTCTCGTCCCTGATGCTTTGCTATTATAACTTTTTGCTTAAAGCTATTACAATACTTACGCTTGACAGATTCGAAAAAAGTTCCTGTTCTGAAAGGACTCAAATTTGGAGCAGCGTGACAATTTAAACAGGCATAAAATTATTAGTATGAGTCAAACAAAACAGCTTGATCCTACATTTCCCATAATACATTAGAGTCTTTCTGGCACTTGGCAAATGAAAGTCTGAATGTCATTTGCAAGTTTTCTGTCTCTGCACCCGATTATTTCCTCGCTGCTCCAGAGCCATAAAAGACCTCATACAACTATTGTAAGCTCAAGTCGGACTGCTGGCGACGGCTTAATTGACTCTGACAAGTAAAATCTGTAGAGTGCACCTTTAATAAAACATGAAGCTCCACCAACCTCGGTGGCTTTGATGGCGTGTCACCTTCCTCTATCTGATTCTCAAACTGATTTATTTTTTTTTAGGTTGAGTGCCCACTTTCTCTCTCTGGAAGACACACTTAGTGTCACATCTGGGCTGAAATCTTTCTAATTTTGACCAAAATCCTTTAAGAACTTTTGAATTCCGGATGCTGAACGTCTCGTAGTGGGTTCATTCTGTGACTCTAATCAGTGCAAAAGTCTTTAACACAAAGAAATCAAGTGGTAACGTGAGAGCTGCAGGCTTGTTTTACATGAAATCATGTGATAAAGTTTGGAGTGGTTTGCTGTTTTTTGGTTGTGTATTATACTGAGGCCGGAGTCTCCCGAAACGAGGCTTCAGCTGAGCATGAAACAAGCCAACTTTATAAATATTATACATTTTTGTTGTTGTCGCAGTTGTTTTATCAATGTTATGGAATCAACACTGCTATAGACATACTGTATGAATATAAATGGTCGTTGCTGTTTTTTACCAGACGCGGCGGTGTAAATGATGTTTTCTGAGTGGGCAGACTGGACTCTGTGTTTTCTATTTCTTTACTCCATCGTAACTGAAAATCCGACACAAATCCGACAGTCAGACTGCGAGAAGCAGGACGTTTGTTTTTCACGCTAAATAGGAAGACTTGAGTTTCAAAAACTACGGAAGCTAAGAGTGGCCAGTGATGTTAATGCTAATGTTAGGGCGGCTATCGCCGGGATAATTAGCCTTAAAAATAACATCAGCATGAATGGTCTATTTTTAACCTGGCAGATATGGGAAGGTAAATAAGTTTTTTAAGAGAAAAGAGAAAAAAAACACATCTTAAGATAAGGAAATTACGTCTGTATTATGTATGTAAACTCATCAGAAACACAGTTGCATAATTTGTTATCTCAAGTAAGTATTTTATGCCAAAAATCTATCAGAAAATTGTTTGAAAACTTAAGATAACAACATATTTGTTATCTTGGCTGCCAAAAAACAACATGTTATTGAGCTCCGAAAGTCCAGAAAGATGAAATTATTAACAACTTCTGGGCTTTATACGGTTTATTAGGAGAAAATAAGGTAATTAATTTGTAATAATTAGATAATTTTGAGCTAATAGCATTAAATAAAACAGTTATATCAGTTTTACAATAAAACTATCAGCACAGGAGATAAAATGTGAACCTGTAAAAGTGAAATAAATCACTATAAAGTTTGTTATTGTTAGTGGAGGTGACAACTAACACACTTTATCTAAAGAAAGTTAGATTATTCATTTGTTTTTATGAGAAACAAATCTTGGAGAAGACCATGGCGGCTCCGAGCTTCCGTACATTAAAGATGGAGTTTTATTATTTCTTTGTTTTTAAACTAGAATAAGAAAACAGCAGGACAGAGCTGCCAAATCACTTTTGTCTTTACAGCAAGTCCAAGTTTGTAGCCTAATTGTTGGTTGGTTATATTTATATAGGAACAATGCTAGTGATGCCTTGTTTTTTGTACAGTTTTATGTACATGGAAGTGTAGGTTTTTAAAAAATGAAGATGAAAAAATATATATATTCAAACAACGTGAAGGAAATCTGACCTTGAACCTGTAGGATTATATTGTCTAAAGTACCGTAGGCTCTATTAAATGTAGGAGTGATGATTCAGGCTCAGAGAGGAGGACGACAGCGTCTCTCCTCCAATCATCCACTGCTTTCCTTTCCGTTCTCTCATGTTTCGCCCAGAGTCTGAAGACAAACTGTACATTTCTTTAGTTCCTTTGTTTCGTTGTTTATTTGGTCTTTTGGTTTTCTTGGAGGAAGTTGGGTGATGTGTGTTATTTTATTTTGTTTTTTAGCCTCATCTTTTGATCCGCATCCGCATGTTTGAATTTAAAAAAAAAAAGTGGTCTTTTATTTTTGCTGAGCAAATCAAAGAAATGATATCTTGTAATTACTCCTTACTTATAGCTTTACAATAAAATACATTCAGTCAAAGGAAGACGATGGCTGTCACTTCTTCATTTGTCTTTCAGGTTTTTATCATGTTACCATCAACAGAGCTCACTTTTATGTGTCTTCAACTAACTAACTAACTTTCCCTAAAGATTAAACAAGGGTTTTATTGGCTCAAACATTAAGTAAATCAGCTCAATTAGGGCTGTTGGGCAAGGTACCATTTGCTTTATTATTACTAACTTACCTGGCTGAACTTCAGTTTGCAGAAAAAGTTAAAGACTTTTCTCTTTTATTTTGACAAAATAAGAAACATATGATCCCAGACTTAAAGGTTTCATATATGAAATTCACTTGTAGTACTAAAGTAACTGAATCTCAGACCAGAACAATGGGCCCACCAGACTCCATTTACAAAACCACTAATTTTGCCTACTAGCCGATAATTGGAAAACACAATTTAAACTGGAAATAAATGAAATAAAACTCACCAAAACTCTTTATTTTAGTCTTTCCAACAATCACCAACTCTGGTTTGGTTGAAAAAACCCTTAATTCACAGAGTGAGATGAGAAAAGTCCATCCACTAACAGTAGTTGTTGTTTGTTCCACTAACAGTAGTAGTTTCTGCCACTGACAGACTCAGGTTGTTATTGTCAGT